AAGTGCTTCTGGAGAGAAAGTCTCCTCCCTCTCGAGGGTGTTGGTCCAGGTCACGTGGCCTCAGGGCCCCTCCACTTCTTTGCACGACCCGCCCTTGCTCCCCTACAGCAACGATTACGGCCCTGCCGCTGCCCCTCGACCCCCAACTCCATGTGAGCTCGCTTCCCGCCAACAAGTGAGAAGCCCCTTCATCTCCGCTCTGCATCACCTCACGTTGCTGCCTTGCTTCCCACCGATCCCATTCCACCCCCTGTCCCCCGGGGCCTCCCTGCATCATTTAGGTTCTCTTCTGGCCTGGCCGCCTTTCTCTTCCCCTGTAGGCATGCTCACATTCCATCTCAAAAGGAAAAAGGCTTATGTCCCCTGAGCCGTCAGGGGACTTTTGCCCAGTCTCCCTTCCATCACAGGCACAGCTACTCAGGAAGAAGTCCCAGGCTCCTCGTGTCTACAACGCCTGGCTAGCTTCTGCCCCCACCAGAGTCACCAACAATCTCAGTGGTTAGCCACTGACACCTCTGCAACCCGGACTGCTTGGCAACATTGACCCTGTTTACTACTTCCTTCTTAAAATCCTTTGCTCCACTGGCCTCCAGCGTCCTCTCTCGACTTCCTTCTGAGCCTCTGGGCACTTTCATCCTCGCCTTAGCCTCCACTTCCTCCCGTATGTCTCCTGAAGGCCAATGTTCCAGGATTCTGGCCACAGCCCTCCTTCCCCACACACCAGGAGAGGCACCCAACGAAACAGGAGCCCCTCCTGCAGGGCTTTCTTAGGTTAATGAGGGCCTGTGTGTAGTAAACAATGTTAGCAGTTTAGAGAATCGGAGGGCACAGGGACACTGGAAACCTGTATGCGAGATGTGGACTCATCGCCCTGCTCTCGGCTCTCACCCTGTTCTCAAATGACTGACCAAAGCTAACGCTGCCCCTCTGCTCTGGACGGCCTACCCCCTCCTCTAGCCCCCACCAGCTCCTGACTTCACTGCCAAAGTGGCGTAGGAGTAGGGGTTCCCCAAAAGGAGTGTCCTCTCCACAGAGCAGGCCGTGGAGCAGACTTGGGCACTGGGAGAGGAGAGAGGTGCTGGGGGCCTGGTGGGGAGGGCCGTGCGGAGGAGACTGGCACGGAGAGCAGGCTGTCAGAGTCTCACTCCTCCTCTACCTGACCCTTGTCACTAGGTGCTGTCTTCAGGTCAAGGGAGGTCACCAGGCTGCCCGAATGCCAGGGCTCAGAGGCAGTTTGCAGCAGGGGCCTATAGCATTAACAGTTCATGGAACAGATGCTTCTTGAGCACCTATTCTCCCGGCGCCAGACGCCGGTGATACTGGGCCATCGAGCCCAGCAAGGGCCCTGCTGTCAGCTGACATCCTGTCGGGCAGAGACAGACCAAGGAAGCAAGGAAACAAGATAATGTCAGATAATGAAAGAGCGACAAAGAAAGTAGAAGAAGGTGATGGGATACTGAGGCTGGGGCCACTAATCTAGCTTGGCGGGGGGGTGTCAAGAAGGCTTCTCTGAGGGGATATTTTGTCTGAGGCCTGAGTGGTAAGTTAGCCCATGCAGATAGAGGGGTGTTAAACCAAGGTGTGATATGCTCTGGTTTATATTTTGAAAAGATTTCTCTGGTTGCCATATTGAGAGTGCGGAAGCCAGAGCAGAGGCTGGCCGACCAGTTAGGAGGCAGTGGTCCAGGTGAGGCGCTGGTGGCTTGAACTGCGGTGGTGCGGTGGAGATGGGAGGGTTGAGTTCAGGATAGGTTTTGGAGTCAGAGCTGGCAGGTGACAGGACCTGTTCTGAGTGGCGGTTTGCAGAGGACTGCGGGGCCACGATTCATAGTGAGGGCCACCCCACTGGATGTGCTGGGGCCCTGAGCAGTGTTAGCAAGTCCTATGGGATTCACAGCTGCAAACCACAGTACCCACCCCTTCTGAAAACTAATTAATTTAAAATTAATTAATTTATTTATGGCTGTGTTGCTGCACGCGGGCTTTCTCTAGCTGCCGCAAGCGGGAGCCACTCTTCCTTGCGGTGTGCGGGCTTCTCACTGCGGTGGCTTCTCTTGTTGCGGAGCACGGGCTCTAGGCGCACGGGCTTCAGTAGTTGTGGCTCGTGGGCTTCAGTAGTTGTGGCTCGCGGGCTCTAGAGCACAGGCTCAGTAGTTGTGGCACGTGGGCTGAGTAGTTGTGGCTCACGGGCTCTAGAGCTCAGGCTTAGTAGTAGTGGCACACGGGCCTAGTTGCTTCGCGGCATGTGGGATCTTCCCGGACCAGGGCTCAAACCTGTGTCCCCTGCATTGGCAGGCGGATTCTTAACCCCTGCGCCACCAGGGAAGCCCCACTTAAACTGAGTAGGTTTGGGGTCTTAGTCACATGGGAGAAGGAGGGGGGAGAAGGGTTGAGTGACACTTAGAAACAATGGGCCTGCTACTCCTGTTCAAGGTGGTAAAGGGAGACGCCACAGTTACACGATGCTATCTATCCATGTACCTTCTGGATTCTACTGTGGATGTGTCGGAAACCTTCCCCAAATGTGCCCTCCTCCTCAATCCCCCATGTCAGCAAACTGTGTCCTCTTTAGAGTCTCCCCTCATCAGCCCCCAAGTCCTGTTGGTTCCCACGCCAATGCTCTCCTCCCAGGGCCGGCACCTGTTCTCCCTCCGCCCTTCTCCCGGCCTCTCCATCCACCCATCCACTCTCTGCAGCGCAGCCAGAGAGCTTTCCAAAAGGCAGATCTAATCATGTCCCTCAGCTTAAAACCCTTTGGATCCCCAGAGGATTCTAGATAAAAGGCAAACTATGAAAGCCGGCTAATTACAAAGCTCAGCATCATCGGCTCCACCTCCCCACTTCTCCCCACTTGCCTCCAGGACACACCCCCAGAATTCATCCCAGTTACCCTGCAGGGCCTTTCCTCTGGGGACACTTCTCCTTCCCCTGGCCAACTCCTGGTGACCTTCAGGACTCCGGAACCCCCTCTGCTGCCCCTGTCCTTGCATAGCGTCCTACCATAGCCCAGGCACTGGGACCAAATCGGCTCTTACCCCCGCTCCTCTGCAAACTGGAACCGAGAATCCTGGAGCGCCTTTCATCTGTGTGTCTCATGGTTCCAGCACAGCATCGGGGATCCATCACGGGATGAAGGTCATCCCTTCCCAGGAGGGCAGGAGGCAGGATGGCAATAAGAGAAGAGAGCAAGTCTTTTCAGAAGACTTGACAGACTTGGGACGTCGTGATGGGTTTGTTGGGTGACACTGGGTGGCATGGCTGAAGGGGAGTAGCGCCCAGCAGGAGCCACCTGGCAGAGCTCGCTGCCACCAGCACTCCAGTGCACACGCAGTCACTGGTCCCCAGCCTGTGCCCACAAGCTTCTTTATGAGCATGAATTTGGGCGGGGGACGGTGTTGGCGGACGAAGGGCAGAGGTGGTCCCTCCACCCCCTCAAGCCAGGTTTCCACGCGGCGGCCCAGCCTGCCCTGTGCTCCTGGTTCCCCATTCCCACCTACGAGGCCTCTGGGATCGCCCTGATGGCGCCTGGCGGTGGGGAGGGAAGAAGACCCGCGGGTTAGTCGGTGTGTCCACTCTGGTAGGTCTCCTTGTGAGTCGGGGCTGCAGCCGGGGAAGCAAACAGGATCGAGCTCGGCAAGCTTGCTCGCTTGGGGCCCTGAGGCCTCCCCTAGACCGGCGCTTCCTGCCCCAGGGCCACGCTCTCCCTGCCCGGCTCACCTCCTGTTCGTCTCCCCACACCCGCCCCAGGCTCTCCCCAGCATCCCATAGCTCTTCCTGGATTTTCTGAGCTTCACTGCATGAGGGTTGGGTGGGGAGTAGGTACAACCCCATGAGAGGCAAGGGGTCCCTGCAGAGTGAGGGAGGATGGTTATAGAAGCCAGTAAAAAAGTAAGTGGAGGGGCTTCCCTGGTGGCGCAGTGGTTGAGAGTCTGCCTGCCGATGCAGGGGACACGGGTTCATGCCCTGGTCCGGGGGGATCCCACATGCCGCGGAGCGGCTGGGCCGGTGAACCATGGCCGCTGAGCCTGCGCATCCGGAGCCTGTGCTCCGCAACGGGAGAGGCCACAACGGTGAGAGGCCCGCGTACCGCAAAAAAAAAAAAAAAGGAAGTGGAGGGAAAGATTAGGGGGAGACCATCCCTGAGTGGAAGCTACCATCTGAAGTTCAAGTGCACCTGACAGAAGAATAATAATGGCTAATGCTGAGTGTTCATTTGCTTCATAGCAACTGTGGTGCTAAGTGCTTTAAGCATGAGCTCATCTACTATCCCCATTTTACAGGGGTGAGCACTGAGCCTAAAGAGGTGAAGTAATTTTCCCAGTATAGACAGCAAATACTTGGCAGAGCTGAGATGCAAATTCAGCCTGTGGTTTCCAGAGTCAGACGCTGCCTGAGGTCAAACCCCAACTCCGACCCCTCGCTCTGTGGAAACTTGGGCAAGTTACTGAAGTCTCTGTACTTCTGTTCCCTCATTTGTAAAATGGTGATTAGAACCTACCTCAGGTCCCCACTGAGGAATGAAGTTAATACCTGAAAAGTGCTTGGCAAAGGGCCTGGCACGTGATAAGGAATCCACAGATGTGGTTATGATGAGTCATCGTCATTACCGGGCTGCAGCCCTGGAAGTGGCCAGCTACTGTTCTGCTTGGCTAAGGGGAGCTTAGCTTAGTCACCCTAGTCCAGACACAGAGGGAAACGCCCTGCTAGATTTGCCTTCTTCCTGGAGCCAGAAGATGACACGTGTGTTCTTCTTATCCAGTCACTTGTTTGGAGGCTGAGTGGATGTCACTGGATCCTCAGCGCCGGGACCGAGACCTCCCACACTCCTGGTGGGCTCTAGTATTGCTATCAGGACGAGTGTTACTGATTTTCCCTTTTGCTTCAGGCTCCAGTACACTTCAGACCGTACTGAGCCTGTCTTTATTTAAAAATTTGATATTTTGTTCACGATGGATTTTTTTGCATGAATTTTCATTTTTAAAATATTACTTTAAAACATCTATCTTGATAACTGGCTTTATTGGCAACCCCTTAAATTCTGAGCCTGAGCCAATACCTCACTCACCCTCATCCCAGCCCTGGCCCAAAGGGCTGATTGAGTGCCTCACAGTATGGCAGCTGGCTCCCCCGGAGCCAGTGACCCAAGAGTGAGCAAGGAAGAAGCTGCAATACTTCTTAAAGCATAACCTTGGAAGACACTTCATCACTTCTGCAGTATCCTATTCATCACCCAGGTCAGCCCTGTTCAATACAGGAGGGAGTACATAGGTACATGAACGCCAGGAGACAAGAATCATGGTACCGTCTTGGAGGCTGGCTGCCGTACCAGGTCTCCTGCCCAGAGTCTCAGTGGTTGGGAGAGGCCTCCACAGACTGGAACCAAGTCCTCCCTTCTTTACCACATTTCCCTCTCAGACCCTGAGCAGTACCGACCAGGCTGGGCTACTGGGGCCTGCGTAGGATCCTACTCGCTGGTCCAGGGAGAAGCACCTGACCCAATCAGCCCTCCCCCAGAGTGTCTTAATTTGGGAGAGTGAGTCGATTCCCTGGTGGAAGATGTGACCTGTGGGTTATTATGTCCAGCTGGATGGAAAAATTAGCCATGAGAATCAAGGGAATTCATCCCAGGCCTCAGCTCCCACTGTGCATGAGGCCAAATGACATCTTTGCTCTGCTTTGTCCGTTGTCTGGGTTTTAGAACCAGTAATAAATTCCGGCTTCCTCCCAAGTGTACTTGAGTCAGGCTTCTGTCACTTCGTCACCTCTTTGTCGGTGGCCTTCTGTGGAAGATGATGCTAGGGGGTTGCTTCTCGGAGTCTGGCCAACGCTACCTGCATCCAAATCACGTAGGGCTCTTGTCGAGAATGTCGGTGCCTGGGCCCCGTCACAGCCTCTCGGGGGTGGGTCCAGGACTCTGCAGTCTTCACGCTGAAGCTTGGGGCCCTGCAGTAAGGCAGCAGCCGCTTTCGAGCTTTCCTCTGCCCGGGCCTGCAGCTCCTGGTGGCTGGTGCCTACGTGGACTGAGACGCTCAGGATGGGGAGGGCCCACGAGGGGGATGTGGGTTCACAGCGTAGGACCACGTGGGGCGAGGAGCTGTGGGCACCCAGGCTGAGCTGGGGCCAGAGCCTGAGGTAGGAGGGACCAAGACCCAGGAAGGCGGCTGGGAGGGGAGAAGCTTCTCATTCTCGACGGGTGGTCTTGACAAGTCATGTCAACACACAGCCTGCTTCCCTGCTCCCCCCCACCCCGCCCAGTTAAAAGAGGAGGTTGGCCCAATGATGGCAAAGGTCCCCTCTAGCTACAAAACTCAAGGCCCTGGGAGATGGGTGGTTTCCTTTGCAGAGGTTTGTCCTCAGGGTTGCTTCCTGAGGGGTGGGGACCTGCAGGCACCCTCCCTGGTCGAGGGCTGATCTCTGCTGTTTGTTCACTTCGCTCCTCCGCAGGGGCTGAGGCTCCCTCTGGGAAGCAGGTGCCAAGGAGCCTGGGCACTTCCGGGCTTAGCCTTGTTTCCATAGCACCCAGCCACCCTGCCAGGAAGATGTGGGTTTCTCCTGGTTGACACCCAGAGGACCTTGGCCTCCTCCATTTCCTGCCACAGTGCTGGGTCGCGCAGAGGATGAAGTAGTGGGACATGCAGTAACCTGGGATTTGCAGGTCCCGAACTCAGCCTTTCATTCAGGCCAGTCCTTCTGGAAGTTTGGGCTCCAACCAGCAACAGGGAACTTGTTAGAAATGCAAATGATTGGACCCAACTCTAGATCCACTAAATTCTAGGGGTAGGGCCCAGCCATCTGTGTTTTAATAAATCCCTAGGTGTTTCCGATGCACATGAAGGTTTGAGAACCACTGCTTTATCCGTGTGCCTTGGACTCTGCCAGTGTCAGCACTGAATGTCTTGAGTCCCAGAAACCTTTCAGTTTCCGGCAAACCGGGATGGTTGGTCACCCCAGCTTTAGGTCCTTTGTTTCATTTTCTGTTGCTGTGAAACAACACCGCCCCCAGAATAGAGTGACCCAAAACAGTATTATTTTGTTAATGAATCTGCAACTTGGGCAGGGCCAGCCCATCTCTGCTCCACTCTGTGTTAGCTGAACCGCTCAACGTCTGGGGTTTGCTGCGTCATCAGAAGGTCTGGCTCCTGGGACTTCCCTGGCGGTCCAGTGGTTAAGACTCCGTGCTTCCACTGCAAGGGGGCATAGGTTCGATCCCTGGTCGGGGAACTAAGATTCCACATGCTGCACGGCGCAGCCATAGAAGGAAAAGAAAAAACAAAAAAGTAAAAAGGTCTGGCTCCTGTGCTGAGACTGGAATAGTGAGGCCCTTGGCATCTCTGGCTACACGTGGTCCCTCCAGCCTGGTGGCTTCAGGGTAGATGGCCTTTTACCTGCCGATCAGGAATCCCAGGGGGCATGTCCCAAAAGAGAGAATACAAACGGGAAGCCTGTTGGGCTTCCCTGGTGGTGCAGTAGTTAAGAATCCGCCTGCCAATGCAGAGGACATGGGTTCAAGCCCTGCTCTGGGAAGATCCCACATGCCACGGAGCAACTAAGCCCGTGCGCCACAACTACTGAGCCTACGCACTAGAGCCCGCGAGCCACAACTACTGAAGCCCACGTGCCACAACTACTGAAGCCCACGCACCTAAAGCCCGTGGTCCACAGCAAGAGAAGCCACCGCAATGAGAAGCCCGCACACCGCAACGAAGAGTAGCCCCCGCTCGCCCCAACTAGAGAAAGCCCGTGCGCAGCAAGAGACCCAACTCAACCAATAAATAAATAATAAAAATTTTTTAAAAACTCCAAAAAACAAATGGGAAGTCTGTCATCAGAGAACATCACTTCCGAAGCAGTCACAGGCTTCCCAGATTCCAGGGGAGGAAACAGACCCCATGCTCCACGGAGGGTGTGACGTCACCCCGTGTGGCGGGAGATGCTCGTCCGCAGTCAGGAAACCCACTTAGCCACACCTTGTCTCCTGCCCCAGCACAGAAAGTTAAGGGAAGGGAACCCTGATCAGCCAGAGTCCATTCTTCCTCCCTGCTTCCTTCTTCCGACTCTACAAAGTTCATCACACCTACAGTATGCTAGGAACTGGGGCTGGAGGCTATTGTTTCTCTGCAAATTCATTTACTATTTAAAGAGTCAGGCCTGAGCTCCAGTGCTGGGAACCTGGGGCAGCTTCAGACGCTGGGAGTGGAGCAGCCTGGAGACTGCTAGGGGGGCTGAGCAGCAGGGTGGGCTCCGAACTTAGGGACGGTGAGGGGGTGGGAGAGAGAAGAGGGAGGGAAGGAAGGAGGGAGAGAGATTCTGCTATTGCTGCTACTGCTGCTGCTGCTTTGAAGCTTTTCTGGGCAAATGGCGAATTATCCCACGCAGATGAGGCCTTTAGGTGTTTCAAAGCACCTTCCCTCACGTCATCCTATTTGATTCCAAATGGACCATTAGAGCAGTGGCATAACAAATTGCAATTTGTCCAGTGTCAATTTCCTACCTGGCGGTGAGCTCCTTTGTGGGGCAGGACTGTCTACAGCCACCTCGAACCTTCAGTGGCCAACAGAGAGAATCCTTGTGCCATCCGATCCCATATTTTCTCCAGGAGGTGGGTTCCTCTGCAGGTACTAGCAATGTGGAACACGGGGCTGTATTGCTGGAACTCCCGCCCCGCCCCGCCCCGTCCCGCCCCCGGCCACTGCAAGCGCTGTCTAAACTTGTATCAATGACAAGAAAGCAGCCCCTCCCCTGGGCTGTCACGGCCAGTCCCACAGCCTAATTGCAGCCCTCCGGGCCCGGCTTAAGCTGTGGAACCATTCACGGCTGCCCCGCTCCCCACCGCGCGACCTGCAAGGTGTTTAAGTGAGGCAGCTGGTGCCTTAGGAGAATCTTCACCTGTCTTCTAGGGGCGAAGGGGTCAGACGCTGGAACCACTTCTCCTGCAGCGACTGGGGCTTCCGAAGCCCAGGCCTCGTCTTACTGGCTTTGGCGCCATCTAGTGGACATGTCTGCGCCCCCACCCCCGCACCCCACCCCGGCCCACAGACCTTTCTATAGCCCAGAAGCAAAACCAGCGACCTACCTGGCCACACGGGTGCCTCTGGACTTTTTGAGTCCCAAATCCACAGGCCAGCTGCTCTCCCACGTGGCTTAGCGTGCAGTGGGGTGCCTGCTGGATGCCAAGTCAACACTTCTTCCCCTGAGATGGGCAGGGATTCACACGGAGACTCTCCCCTTCAAATCCCATCCCTGCACTCAAACGTGTGCACAAAAGTGCTCATAACTAGAGCAGAATGAAACAACCCAAATGTCCATCGAGACGGTGAACACTGTAGGAAAAAGAAATATGAGGGGCAGAGGGAAAGGTTAGCAGCTGGCAAGAAAGTGGCATCCTGTCAATCAAGGCTCACCTTCTCCTGTTCCAGAAATTGCCTCAGGGAGAGAAAAGTAAAATAGGAAGAAAACTAACTTTCTTTTCAAAATAGAAAGGGGAGGGAATTCACCAGCGGTGCAGTGGTTAGGACTCAGCACTTTTACTGCCATGGGCCAGGGTTCAATCCCTGGTCGGGGAACTAAGATCCCATAAGCCACGTGGTACAGCCAAAAAAAAAAAAAGGCCAAAAACAAAACAAGTAAGATAGGAAGGGAAAATATTTTGAATGAGATTAGCACAAGTAAGAGACTATGCCTGCAATGGGAAACGCTGAAATGAGAAACAAATCAGGTGCTCCTTTCATCCAGCAGTCATCAGGAATTTACTGTTGCAGCTGCAGTAATGGGAAGTTCAAAGATTTCTTTTTTTAATTTTATTTATCTTTTTTTTTTTTTGGCTGAGTTGGGTCTTTTGTTGCTGTGCGCTGGCTTTCTCTAGTTGTGGCGAGCGGGGACTAATCTTCGTTGTGGTGCGCGGGCTTCTCATTGCGGTGGCTTCTCTTGTTGCGGGGCGCGGGCTCTAGGCGCGTGGGCTTCAGTAATTGTGGCACGTGGGCTCAATAGTTGTGGCTCGTGGGCTCTACAGCGCAGGCTCAGTAGTTGTGGCGCACGGGCTTAGTTGCTCCGCAGCATGTGGGATCTTCCCAGAGCAGGGCTCGAACCTGTGTCCCCTGCATTGGCAGGCGGATTCTTAACCACTGCGCCACCAGGGAAGCCCCAAGTTCAAGATTTTTAATTTCCCTCTTAGAGAGTGATAGAAAAACCAAATGAGAATGCTCATAGCTCTCTCAATCATAACTTCCCACTTTCATCTCCTTCTCCCTTTCTAGCTTCCCATCCAATTGTGTTTAATGTTTAGAAGAAAAGGTAACCACCTTTCGAAGACATCCATGCAGGTACACTCAGGATTGGAGAAGTGTGCTACAAGCTGGCAGGTGGTCCAGCAGGTGCTGGAGGGCGTTCCCAAATGCTTTTGGAAAAGCCAATGAACCCCTTTGATCAAGACCTTCTTTGTTTTTGCTTTGGTTTTTGGTTTGAGTTTTAACCCCACCTCGTGGCTTCTGGGACCTCAGTTCCCAGACCAGGGATGGAACCCAGGCCATGGCAGTGAAAGCTCTGAATCCTAACCACTAGACCACCAGGGAACTCCCGATCAAGACTTTGTTTTAATTTTAAAACAAAAATACTGATATTTCATCCTCCCAACTCACGGGGATTTTATGGGGATTCAACCTGAGAGGGATCGAAGCATTTTCAAAGGTGGGGGAATTCCCTGGCAGTCCAGTGGTTAGGACTCTTCACTGTCACTTCTGAGGGCCCGGGTTCGATCCCTGGCTGGGGAACTAAAATCCCATAAGCTGCATGGCACAGCCAAAAACAAAACATAAAAACATTTTCAAAGGTGGGACAGAACTGCAAGAAATAAATGACCCAAACAGGGAAGGGGGAAAGTCACTCTTTTCAGAGCGTGTCGTCCTAGGATGGCTGTTAAGGGGGTAGAATTATAAAAAGCATCAAGGTGAGGACTGGGGCATCGGTCTGGATCTTCTGGTGACTCTCATGGCGTCTTAAGCAAGGCCCTTTCAATTCACTGGCTATGTTTTCCGTAACTTTCAGTAAGATCATCTGGTTATAATAGAAAAAAAGAGATGGTGAACACTGATTCTATGGAATGTTATGTAGTGGCTAAAAGGAGTATGCAGGACTGGAAACATCTTCAACAAGCATATCACAGATCAACATATACAACACAATTCCAGTTACTAAAAGAGACCAACCGAAACCTGACCTACGGTTTACACATCAGTTTGAAAATGTATAGGAGGACAGGTCAGGACACACGGCCTGGTGAGGGGGGGATGGGGAAGAGTGAAGGAGGCCTTTCGTTTTACACACCTTTACTGTACATCTTTTTCAGTGTTTAAGAGGTAAATAAACAAACAAAAACCTTCTGTTGCCAGTAACTGAGTCCCTGCTGCTCTCGCAAAAGGAACAGCCGGCTCCCCAGTGGCTCTGCCCGCCTCCCATCAGCATGTCTTTCTCAGCCTCACACCTGGCAATTGAAAACACGCTCTGGCTGTGGCTGCCAGCCCCTCCCCACGACATCATCCCCAGCCAGGGGGCAACTTCAGAAGCTTATGTGGTCCGGCTGCTCCTGTTGAAGACCCTTCACAGCTCTCAGTAGCTGTGAACACTTGGTGGGCTGTCAGCGTCCACACCGCCTTCCCACTGGGGGCAATCCGCATTGTGCAGGGCCTTTCCTCTCACTTCAGAGGCTGAAGGGCTCCAGCTCTCACCTCCCCCTCTCCTGGGCAGCTGGGGTGCAGAGCACAGACCAGGCTTGGACAGTGGGAGCTCCCCCAGGAGCAGAGCCTACAGCTGAGTAATGGCAGCAGGGGCTGAGTCCAGCGGTGCTGCAGCCCAGTGGTGGCATCGGCTAACTAGGCTCCCTTGGTCCCTCTTTGTTTTCTGAGCCCCGGTCCCCTGACTCCCAGGCAGCTCCTCGAGCTCCTAGTTCCCTCCCCGTAACTCCTTTTGGGAGTCCCTTTCGAGTGTCACAGGTACCTCACTGTGTGAGGGACCCTGATAAGTGTGATAACCTGTGGTCCACGCAGCTGCTGCAGCAAGAAGTTGCATCACGACCCAGATGTTTAGAGTCAGCAAATGTGCCATTCTAAAGGCAGTTCCTACAACCACAGCAGATGACTTTGCTGGGTTTTCAAGGTATATATGGGAACAGGAAGGGCTTGGTGAGCTCCCACTTGGGCCTTTCCTGGCCTGGCAGGGCCTCACCTGGAAAGGCCAACCACGGCCACCACCACTGAGCACCCCTCAGGGAGGAGCTGGAGAGACGAGCAGCCGGATTGGGCAAACATTTGCTGGTGATGTGTCCTCTGTGGGTGCTGCCAAGTCAACTGTCACTTTTACAAGCAGTAAAGCTCCAGCACTCAGAGGGGCCACTTCCCAGGTGCCCTCCTCACCCTCTGAGACCCTCAGACCCTCCTCAGACCCATCCCCCGCCCGGCCAACCTTCTCCAACCCAGACACAACCTGGAGCCCCTCTCCTCCAGGCGGCTCCTGACTGCCCTGCAAAGCCCCTGGGCTGCCGGGCTCAAAACAGTCCCCTCAGATCTTTCCAGTCCTCTCTGCTCAGCCGGAGTTCACGCAGCTCAAGTCCCACCTCCATCCTGCAGCAGACACTTAGACAGTTATTTATGGAGCCCCTACCATGTGCCAGGTTCTGGAGCGTGCCTAACTCGTCCCCCATCGCCCCCGGCTCTGAATCTTCCAGCAGCGCCCGGCTTCTGCACCACCTTCCGCTGCTCCCCGGGAGAGCCCTGTCTATCCAGCTTCTGTCCCCGGACTGGAAGGCAAGGCCTGACCGCTACACTCGCTGAATCCTCCCCTCCCCTGCCTGGGCTGCAGCCGCCCCTCAAGTAAGTGCTTGTCTTCTCAAGGCAGCACCTAGGAGCTGGGACCAAATCCCCAGAAGCAGCAGCAGCAGCAAACCATCTTCTCCCAGTTCTGATTTCACAGTCCAGGAAGCGGCGCCTCTGACTGGGCTCTGCAAATAAAGGCGATTTTTAAAAACCAGAGGGTGCTGGGGATTTAGCCAGCAAACTGCCTCCCGCACAGCGACTGGGACGGCCCTTCCCCGCCTCCGGGCCTGGACCCCCCAGGGATAGGGCGCGGGGGCGGGAGGGGTGCGGCTCCCACGTCTGCGGGAGGCTCACGCTGGCCCCGCAGACCTGGGTTCGGGTCCTGGCCGTGCCGTGTGACGAGCAACCAGTCACCTCCCCTCCTAGAGAAGGTTTTCTCGGCGGCCGAGACGGGCGATCACATTCCCCTGCTTTTCTCACCCGCGAGGGCCGAGGCGGGGGAGGCGGCGGGCACCGGGCGGGCGGAGTCGCAGGGGCGGAGGGGCGGGGCTCGGCGGCGGACAAAGGGCGGCTGACGCGGCGGGCCAGCCTAGCCGGCTGGGCCCGGACCGGGATGGGGGTGGGGTGGGGGAGTGTCATTCTTGCCCCCCGCCCTGCCCGGGGGCCCCGCAGCCGCGCCCCTCAGCGGGTGGCCCGAGCGGAACCGCGCGCCGCCGCGACAATAGCCACCATTTCCGCTCGGCGCGGCTTCCCCTGGCTTCTGCCCACGGGCCCCGAGCGCCTGAGCGCCTCCCTCTCGTTTTATAGACCAGGTGTCCCTGTCGATTTCATTGATTTTACAGAAGTTCGGTTTTACCCCAAACGTGCTTCCTTTTTGTGGAAAAGGGGAAGCGGGCGCGAGGCCCGGACGCCGCTTCATGAGGGGGGTTCTCGGCCGCTGTCGCCCCCGCCCGGCGGTGGCGGCGCGGGGGACCAGCGCTCCCGCTTCCGCCCGCGGCGGCCACCAGAGGGCGCGCGGCGCCGTCCCCTGGTTCTCCCGCGCCCCGGCCGCCGAGACCCGGCAGAGCGCGCGACCCAGGCTCGGGCCGGGGGACTCCGAGGTCCGCGGCGGGCGGGCCACCCCGCTCCTGCGTAGGGCAGCGGGGACGTTCTGGCGGAGGGCGACCGGCCTGGTCTGGCGGGGAAGGGCCTGGAGGGGGTGTGTGTGCCTTAAGGGATAATCGCGCAGACCCTGTCCCGGCCCGAACCTCCTGAGGCCACCAGAGAACCAAGCTCGGTCGCCGTGTGACCCTCGGGGCAGGTGTTGGCCCTCCTGGGGACTCGGTTTTCCGCCTGTGGACGGAGAATGAGAACTGCCCCTCTGCGTGCGGGGCGCGGTTGCGAGGCACCCCGAGGCCACCCGAGAGGGGCCCGGCGGGTGGGCTTTCCCAGAGCGGCACGGACGAAGTGGTACAAACTGCCTCGTTATTGCATTTAAAATCGAAAGTGGGTGAGAGTGGGAGCCAGGTCCTCTCATTCCCAGGTGCACCTACCCCCCCGGCGCTGTGATGTGGTCGCTACTCACTACCAGCCTGCGCAGTGCCGAGCAGCCCTTCCTTTGAGCACACTCCGTCCAGGGAAATCTGGCATCAGCTTAACAAAGGGATTCCTCCCCTTACAAGATCACTTGCAGTGGGATTTCTCTCAATGAATAAGTTGTAGGAAAGTGTCCCTTGTAAATAGAATATCTATAACAGCCCAGGGGACTTGAAAAGTAACCCTTTTGTAGAACAAATACTTCCCTGGTAATAACAGATACAGGGCCAAGGGCGGGCATGTGATGGGGGAGCTGACTCAGGGCTCAACCGATAGATGCCCTGACCTGCTGCTTGGGGTCAGTTCTTTCCCACTCGCTCTGTAGCCGGGATTCTGCCTCACCTGGCCTGGGGATACTAAAGCTGGGCCCCTTCCTGCCTCAGTTTCCCCTCCTGACCCCACCTGCTCCCCCCTCCCCCCTCAGGACAGATTATATGGCTGCTCCATGTGCCTCTGCGGGAAGAGACCTAGAGGCCACACGGGGAGCAGCTTCACTGGCCAGCCAACCCATGTGTGCTGACCAGGGCCTCCCACCCTGCCTGGGTGCTCCTCTTGGGGACTCTGGCTTGGGGACACCCACCCATTCCCTACTCCCACCCACAGAATTCCTGAACTCAGTGGAGCATCTCTCTGGATGCTGGTGGATGGAGGAGACGGCATCTCGGGCTCCAGGACGTCGTGTGAGGTGTGGACCATCTCTTGGTCCACCAGCCCCAGGCCATCCTGCTGCAAGGAAAGACCCAGCCACCCAGCGTTGGGCAAGGAGGTGACACAAGCCTTCTTCTTCCCTGGGCCATTTGGTGCTGGGCAGAGGCCGACCATTAGCAGATAGCACTGCTCACTCGCTGCTTTTAAACCCTCTGACCTTTGTGAATTTTTCGTCAGGCGAACACACAGGCGCTCACCTCCCTTGGCTGGGGAGAGGCAGAGCCAATGAAAGTCAGGGTTTCCCATTTAGGGAAACCACCCACCACCCCAGCAGCGCTGGGCCTCCCTGGCCAGAGGGCAAGGGCCAAGCCTGGGAAACCTGTGGGGAGGGGCACACGACCTGGGGCCTCAGGGAGGAACCACCGGACTGCCTTCACCATGGCGGCCCCCTCCCCTCCTCCGCAACTGGGGCGGGCTTAGAGCCTATTCAGCAGCGATGGGCTCCATCCCCTGGGCAGCATGTGAAGAAGGCACCTCAGGAAGCAGATTTCAGTCATTGTTTTCTATTTATTCTTCACTTAATTGTTCTACACACAGTTCCTGACACGTTTTTTTTTTAAAATTATTATTATCTTTAACATCTTTATTGTTGACACCTGTTTTGAATCAGGCCCTCCAGTAGAGGTGGGGGTGGAGACCTAAACCATATTTCTTTTTATTAAAAATTTATTTATTTTATTTTGGCTGCGTTGGGTCTTTGTTGCTGTGCGTGGGCTTTCTCTAGTTGAGGCGAGCATGGGCTACTCTTCGCTGCGGTGCGCGGACTTATTGCAGTGGCTTCTCTTTTAGTGGATCACGGGTTCTAGGCGCGCAGGCTTTAGTAGTTGTGGCACGTGGGCTCAGTAGTTGTGGTTCACAACTTAGTTGCTCCGCGGCATGTGGGATCTTCCCAGACCAGGGCTCGAACCCGTGTCCTTTTAATTGGGAGGCAGATTCTTAACCACTGCGCCACCAGGGAAGTCCAAACGTATTTCTTAAAATATGTATTATTTATTTATTTTCCTTATTTTTTTGGCTTCGTCGGGTCTTAGCTGCAGCACACGGGATCTTTGCTGAGGTGTGCGAGACCTTTTTGTTACTGCGTGCGGTCCCTTTGTTGCGGCGCTCAGGCTTCTCTCTAGCTGTGGTATGCGGGTGTTCTTTTCTCTAGTTGTGGCACCTGGGCTCCAGGGCACGTGGGCTCTGTAGTTTGCGTCACACAGGCTCTCTAGTTGAGGCACGTGAGCTCAGTAGTTGTGGTGCATGGGCTTAGTTGCCCCGCAGCACGTGAGATCTTAGCTCCCCGAACAGGGATCGAACCCGCATACCCCACGTTGGAAAGCAGATTTTTTACCACTGAACCACTAGGGAAGTCCCCCCAAAACATATTTTTATAGGATTCATGGAGAGTGTTTCTTACTTCCTGATACTGAAGCGAAGAACTCTGACTTCACCACTTATCAGCTGTGTGACCTGGGGCAAGTCACTCAACCTCTCTGAGACTCAGTTTCTTCATCTGAAAAGTGAGACTAAGGGCACCTTGGTCGGATACCTCCACTATGAGTCTTGGCCATAAAGCTGTGAGAGGTCCCTGTAGAACTTTCTCTGGCCACAGTAGAAAGACAGCCTGAGGCTCTGGGGGTGGAGGTTAGCTCAGACCCTCCTCCCCGAAGGCCCTTGGTCTCCCTCCATCTTCCCTTCCCCGCCAGGGCTCCTCCAGCCCACCAAGCCTCCTCATCAGTCTCTTCCCTACTGTCTGGAGACATGCAAGCGTGTGCCGCCTGCGTGATTGGTAATTGATTGACTGAATGCCAAGGACCACCAAGGACCCCTGACCAGGACAGGGGAAGATATCCCACGATGAAAGAAAGGGGTCCTCCAGCTCCCCCAAGTCAGGAGGCCCCCCCACATCCCAGCTCTGCCTCTGGTGGCTGTGTGTCCTCCTTTCAGGGCCTTACCCCATCCCATGAGGGTCCGCTCTTCACACCTCCCTGTAGTCAGCCATCAGCCAGGAGAATTCGTCTGGACCCTTCATCTCCTTCCTTAGAAATACACCCCCCCACCCAGGAAAATTCCCTATCACAGCAGGAAGGGCTACCCATCCTCCTCCCGGCTTCCTCCCCACCAGAGTAGCCCCCCCACCCCCCCGACCCCCACCCCGGCAGCCAGGATTCCTGGCCTTTAAGAAAAAGCTGATGTCTCCCCTCCCCTGCCTCTCCCTTTCCTCCCTCTCCTCCTCTGCCTTCCTGCATGCAGTGGGCAGCAGCCCAAGGTCAGAGGGGAGACAGACACCACAGGCCTGCTGTCCCCCACAGCAATTCTAATCACCACAGGCCTGCTGTCCCCCACAGCAATTCTAATCACCTTGATGAGCCTAAACAGAGGCCGCCAGAGGCGAGGAGACTTGCGTGGGGCTGGCACCATCGAGAAGACACACGGTTCAGCTCACCCACATTCATCACCATTATTCTTCACCTCCTCTCTGTTATTGTCAGGGGCTTCTTTAATGAACCTTCTAGCAGACAGTTGATGCTACTCCTCCAAGAAGCGACATTCCCCTGCTGAAATGACCATCTGATGAGGGAGAATTCCCTCCTCCCGCCCACTTCTGACCTAGTTCTGCAAACACTAAAAGTCATCTGGAATACAGCTGGCATTTGCCCCCCACCCAAAGGGCAAGAGAGGAGCCCTCCCCCCAGGGACAGGGTTCTGTCCTCAGGAGCTACATGGTGGAGGGGGTCAGGTGGACCCAGTGTGGAGAGATTTCCCAATACTTGGGGTCCCTGACCAGCTGGAGCGGAAGGGGAGAGGGCTTTGGGACACACCGGAAGGATGAGTCGATGCCCTGCCAGTCCCAAGAAAGGGAGGGCGTCTATGCTTCCAGGGAGATGAGATGTGCGTGAGGCCACCAGCACCTCTCCTCACTGGGGCAGCCAGAGCTATGGGACGCAGAGGAAATGGGGAGCAGGGATACCATCCTGTCTGGGCCCAAGACGGGCCCCAAGCATCACACTAGTGCCTTGAGAAGGTCAGGAGGAGCTTGATGGTGGGACCCAGGCAGCTGCAGGTCATGCTGTTCAACAAGAGGGACATCCCCAGCCCTGGGTCGGCAGTGAACAGTGTCGCAGCTCTCCACTCCCTTGCACCTGCTTAGGGCTCTCCCCCCTCTCAGGGGCCCTCTCCACTAGCCCCCAGGCCTCTATCCCACCTCGGTCCCTCCCAGTTCATTCTCCCCTGTGCTCCCTCCAAGCCAACTTGTCAAGGCCCAGCCTCCTGTTGCTGGTTCCTCCCAGCCTCTCCCAGGCCCTCAGACCCACTCTGGCCCTGCCCTCACTGACCTTGGCTGTAACTGCTATCCACACCCAAGAAGCTAGCGCTCATGTTGCCTTGTGGGGTCTTGTCCTCATGGCACATCCAGATGGGGGCAAAGACTACATTCTGAGAGCTTCCCATTCTGAGAGCTTAGCTTCACGGACCTCCAGTGAAAACAACGGGCTTTGGGGACTACAGTTACAATCCTGGATCAGCCCTGTGATGGTTTTTAAATGTGTTCACAAGTGCTTTGGCATATCTCCCTTCCAAAGATGGAGCAAAATCCCCTCCCCTCGAGTGTGAGCTGGACTTAATAACTTGCTTATAACGAATTGGATGCGGTGGAAGTGGCATGTGACTTCCGAGACAAGGTCATAAAGGGCATTGCAGCTTCCCCGTGACACCCCCCACCTCCCAGATCACTGGCTCTAGGGGAGGCCAGCCAGCATGTTGTGAAGCAGCTTCGGAGAGGCCCGTGTGCGGGTAGCTGAGGCCTCCCACCAGCAGCAGCACTAACTTGCCAGCCACGTGAGTCAGCAGCCTTGGAAGCAAACTCGCCAGCCCCACTCGAGCCTTCAGATGACTGCAGCCCCGGCTGACATCTTGACTCTAATTTCATGAGAGATCCTGAGCCAGAATGAAGCTGCTCCTGAATTTCTGAGCCACATAAAATGTGAGTGGTAATAAATGTGCATTGTTTCAAAGCGACTGAGCTTTAGGGTACTTTATTATCCAGCAGCATAAAACCAATAAAGCCACTTACAGGCTGAGTGTGCTTGAGGGTTCTGAGTTTCAGTTCCCTTATCTGTAAAATACAGATCCTAGATGTACCTCACGGAGTTTTGAAAGGATTAGAAATAAGACATGTTAACACGATGCAGCAGGCCCCTAATATGCGGTAGCTGAATATTAAATAATGTTGATCCCCTGTCTGCCCATCCCTTCCACAAACACGCACTGGGTTCTTGATGGACAAGGCAAGTCCTGCTACAGTCGAGACAGTACTGCCTCCAGGGCTGGGACTGGAGGTGCCCCTGACAGGTGGACCCATAATCCCGCTGGCAGGGAAATGTTTGGCGTGTAGCGGGGAGCTGAAACCTTTCCGCTGGAACACAGAGCTGAGTCTGCCTTTACAGACAGGAGCAGGGCTGCTGGGGCCTGGGAATGGAGGGAGTTTGTCCCTGAATACCTTTTTTGTGCCTTTTGAATTTTGAACTATGTGAATGTATCATCTACCTGACAAGTAAATAAGTCAAATACTTATAAAAAGTGAGGCATAGAGGGCTTCCCTGGTGGTCCAGTGGTAAAGAATCCACCTTCCAATGCAGGGGACGCGGGTTCGATCCCTGGTCAGGGAACTAAGATCCCACATGCCGCGGGGCAACTAAGCCCGCAGGGCAACTAAGCCCACGTGCCACAGCTACTGAGCTCATGCTCACCTCAACTAGAGCCCACGTGCCGCAAACTATAGGGCCCATGTGCTCTGGAACCCGCGAGCCACAACTACAGAGCCCATGCACCCTGGAGCCTGTGCACCACAACTAGAGAAGAGAAAACCAGGACGCCACAACTAGAGAGCCCGCACACAATGACAAAGAGCCCACACGCCTCAACGAAAGATCCCGCACGCCTCAATGAAGATCCCGCGTGCCACAACTGAGACCCGATGCAGCCAAAAAAAAAAAAAAAAAAAGTGAGGCATAACAAAAACAAAAAATAAATAAATCACAACAGAGTAACGTATTGTGAAAAAAAGTAAGGCAACAGCCCCACATGGAGTTACTTATGCTAGGCCCGATGTCACCAATCCGAGACTTAATTACAGTTTCGGCTCTCCCAGAAATGGAATCTTAAACCAGTCCATCAGGAAACACCCAGTCGGCACTAGTGAGGTCATCTGCCTGGCAGAGCCCTGCCATTCCCTAAAAGTGACCTTGTCATAGCCAACCTGCTTTTCGGCCTCGTATAACTATTCCTGCTCCCTTCTATAAAAGCCTTCCCTTTTGTACAGCTCCTCAGCCTCGTGTAACTACTCCTGCTCCCTTCCGTAAAAGTCTTCCCTTTTTAACATCCTCTGCTAGACTGGATGCTGCCCAATTTGAATTGGTTTTTGCTCAAATAACTTAAAATGTTTAATGTGTCTCAGTTTCTCTCTTAACAATACAAATCTTAGAAAATCCACCAATGAAAGGACCAAAGTGTGATGATCCAGGCAGGGTTCAGTGGTGCTGGATGGAATGCGGGGGGCATACAGAGAGCAGGGGGAGCGAGAGGGGGAGACAGAAGCAAGGGAAGCCAGGCACCCCCTCAGCCTTCGGGGCCCAGTGTCCCCCCACCCACACTCCCCCCCCCACTCCCCCTCTGCTCCCAATCAGCCTCCTGCCCCCCTCGGCTAAGACACCCAGGGGACTGTCCTAGAGCTAGTCAACTTACGCGGCTCCCTTCCCCACCTGAGCCCTGAGCTTCTGATACCTGAGAACCATATCCTGTGGTCTCTTTCCTCCGGGCCTGACCCGCTTACTGGTGAAGGGGAGGAGAAGTGAGAAGGCCGTGTAGAATTGGCTGGGAGCAGAAGTCTTCACTTTTCTGTGAGGGCAGGAAGACCCCAGCTGTCCCCTCAGTACCTCAGCAGTGGAGCTCAGGCCTCTGGGCTGCGCCTGAGGTCCGAGCACAGGCATCCTTCTTGGTCATGGCAATAAGGGACCTAACACTGGTGACCGGGGCACTCCGGGCCCTGGAGGAAGAACAAGGAGGGCTCTTCTCATCAGTGTGTAGTCTTCCTCACATCCTTTGTGGTCTGGAGGCTGCCTGCAGGCCCAAGGCTGCACCACTCCAGAGAGACCCGAGACAGCCCTGGCTCTCCACACATCCTTGGCCGAATGCATGCCTTGCACGCATGTGGAAGAGACACAAGAGGGCCTGGCAGAAGGTAAAGGCGGGGTCAAACTTGCACAACTGCCTGGACTTTGAATGCATTCCCCTGACCTACACACAGATCCATCGGCGAAGGGTGGAAGCCTTACTGGTCAAAAAGTGTGGGCATAACCTCTGACCAATCACTGGCTCACAGGGACAGCCTCCAGACAGGCCAGATTCAACATCAAAACAATCTAGGGGCAGGACAGGAATAAAGACGCAGATGTAGAGAATGGACCTGAGGACATGGGGAGGGGGAAGGATAAGCTGGGACGAAGTGAGAAAGTGGCATGGATATATATACACTACCAAGTGTAAAATAGATAGCTAGTGGGAAGCAGCCGCATAGCACAGGAAGATCAGCTCAGTGCTTTGTGACCACCTAGAAGGGTGGAATAGGGAGGGTGGGAGGGAGATGCAAGAGGGAGGAGATATGGGGACATATGTATATGTATAGCTGATTCACTTTGTTATAAAGCAGAAACCAACACACCATTGTAAAGCAATTATACTCCAATAAAGATGTTAAAAAATTTTTAAAAATTAAAAAAACCCCAAAACATCAAGACAAGAAGTAGAAATGGAGTAGAGAGAGCAGTAGCTGCACACTGCAGGGAGACAGACTCCACAGAATTGGTCTGAGCAAGCCCATACACAAACACACCCAGCAATAACAAGGGCGGGCAGCAAGGGTGGGGTGGGGTCCAAGTCCAGAGCCGCTACAATATATGACCTCCAATAGCCACATGTCAATAAAAAAAAAAAAAAAATACAGGATATGCAAAGAAACAGAAAAGTGTGCCCTGTAATCTGAAAAAAAGGCGTCACTAGAAATTCACTGAGGGGGCCCAGATGTTGGGCTTCGTGTCTCTCCTTCCCTCCCTTTCTCTCTGTTCCAATTTCCAGGGAAGAGCCTGATCGGGCCAGGTGTCCACCCCGATCCTATCACCTGTGAGAGAGGTGCAGGCGTGGGGGTGGGGCGGGTAGAGAAAATTTGTAACGTCATAGCAGGTAGGAACTACCTCCTTGAGCTCACGGGGATGAGGATCAGTTCCCAGAGAAAAGAGGGGTCATCGATTCCGATCCAGGCAGTGTTAAAAAATCGATTGAGACATATTGAAAATTGTAAGTTTGAGCAAAAACCCATTTGAAGGGGGCAGGGTTAAACTGGAAGTGGTTAGGAGCACTCCTCCAGGAGGGAAAGACAGAAAGACAGACTTACGTGGAAGCGAAAAAAGGAAATCATTTGCTTGGCTGTAGCTTACAGCCTAGTTGGCTGTTTGTGATGAGTTGTCTTTATAGTTCTGATTTCATAACCTTGACGCATTTACAGGCATAGATTTTGGTCTGCCTAGGTAGTCCCCAAAGCATTAGAGCCAGTCAGTCTAATGGCCTCCTTGTTTAAGTAATTTAACAGTAGACACCCACAAAGGTGTCTGCCACCCTTGTTTCCCTTCTGAAAAGGTAAGCAGTGATGCCCACAGGAGCCCAAAGGCACTCGAATTTGTTTCCTCCCATCAGAGGAGAGCAGCATCCGCTAGCCATTTCTCAGGCAGGTGCTTTGCAAACGTCCATTCTCCCCCCTGTGGGGCTGCGTGGGAGTTGCATGGGAGATGGGCAGTGGGAAGAGAGCTCATCACCCCTAAGCTCCTTTGTGGTTATCATGCCTCAGAAATCATGCCATCATTTTATTTAATAATATAAATTGCACTCAAATAAATGGCCGTTGTGTCTTCTTCCTTTTCTTCCCTCTATTCCCTCTGACTGTTCCTGCCAATGATCAAGATAGGGCTGTACGTCCACAGGACACGGGTGGGGGGAGCCCTGACAACACTCAGGGTGGGCCCTGTGTGAAATGCAGCTCCCAAGTTGCAAGGGAAGACAAAAGAACTAGGACCAAGAAAAATAAAAGGTATTAAAATAGGCTTAGCTACTTTGGGGCTTTCCTTTGTATGTATTTTTAGCAAGGATTGTGTGCCTAACTCTGCATTAAAATAGCTGATGCTACCAGTCATTGTTTCAGGCCCTTGCACACTGCAGCCTGGCAGGCTTTCTGCAGCCAAAAGTGAAGGCAGCTGGCAGGGCTAGCCCACCCAAGCCGGGGAGAGGGCATCTGTTTCACCGACAGCGCCCCCCTCCCTCACGAAAACCTCAGCGGTGGGAATGCAAACAGAAGCGGGGTGCTTTGGGTATGGCCCAGGGCTGGGAGAGAAAGCTCACAGGAGGCAGCCATGCTTGAGGACTTAAGCCTCCAAAAAGCACGCCCTGCTGACTGTAGCCAGCAGAGGCTGGAATTCCTCCATTGGATCACCAAGGCTGGTATCCCAGGAAGACAGATGTGGCAGCCAGCTCTCCACACGCTCCACCAGGGGCTTTCCTATGAGTACTTGTCCCAGGAGACGCGGTCAGGGAAGGCTTTCTAGTCAGCAAGTCCTACCTTAAGATGCCTGAATCTGTCACATCCTCCCCTCTGGTCCAAGGCCAGTGGGGCTCTGGCCACCTGGGAGAAACACATGTAGCTGGGGAGGGGGTAAGAGGGTGGAAAGGGGAGGGGATCCTGGAGACTAGAGTGAGAAGGTGCCTGAGACAAACTTCCCCTTGCCCAAGGGTTTCCAAGTCTTGGCCCTGGAGTGAGTGACCTACATGCCGGGCTGGACAGAGTGCCTCGGCAGAGCGGGGCTGATAATACTGAGAAGGAACGCTGCCATAGTGTCTACGACTGACTTTGCAATACTGGGGACAAGGCAGTGCCGTGTTGCTGTGTGTGAGGACTTCAGTTTTTACCGTGGGGATGTTAGCATTTGAAGTAACCTTTTCAGGAGCCACACTTCAGAGGTGGCTATGCCAACCGCTTCAAATCTCTTCATCTACATATGCACCTGAGGGATGTTAAAAATAAGTTTTCTTTGGCGAAACGACTTGTGTTCCGGACGTGTGATGGGCTAGGATGCCTGAGCAGGCACTTCTGCGGTGAATGAAAGGGATTCTGAAAAGCTGGCAAGTCCAGGTGCTGTGGGTCTAGAGTTCCACTCGTTCCCGTGGTTCCCCTTAGGGGACGATCCTGTGGGCGGTACTATAGGAAGAACAGCGTTGCATTTGCTTCCAAGGGACCACTTCTTGCAAGATATGTCAAAAATCGGGAACCTCGCTGTGGGGCAGCAGCACTGCGACCGCGAGGAGGTTATTTAACTTCTCTGAGCTCCATTTTCTGTAGACTGGCGATAACGATAACCTTGCAGGGAGGTTGCGAAGAGTATCGAGCTTTAAGAGATCAAGTTTCTGCAGCAGCGCCCTCGCACTGTGTGGCTGGACCAAGGTCAGAAAGGGCGTCCCGACCTCTTCAGGGCTCTGGGCCTCACCGTCGCCGGCTCCCCGCGAATGCAGGCGGCGGCCGAGCCGCAGGGACCGGGCGGGCGGCCCCTCGCTTGCGGGGACGCGCCCTCCAAGCCGGGGTGCTCCCGGCGCCGCCTTTCCTTCCTCCCCGCCCGCGTCCGCTCCGCGCCGACATCTGCTGGCTGAGCGGCCCTCCCCGCTCCCTCCACCGCCCCCGCTCTGGGAACTCGAAGCTGGCGTCCCCGCTCAGGTCGCAGACTCTGGGCCCGCCTCTCCCCCCACTGCCCCCAAGCGCGACTCTCCCCAGGTCACCCGCCACTGTAGTGCCCGCGCCCCACGGGGGTCCGGGCAGCTCCTGCCTCCGGCGGAGAGGGACGTGTCTCGGAGGCGCGGGGACTGCCCCTCGGCCCCACCGCCGCAGGCCTGTCGAGAACAGTCGGCCGCGCTCAGCAGCTCCCACTCTCGCGGCTTTGAACTTGGCCCTTCCCCCACCCCACCCCCACCCCCACCCCCAGGCACTTAAAGCAGCTGCCAGGAACTGAAATATTAATAGGTACAAACTTCCTGGAAAGATTTGCTGCTCCAAGATAGATGACCCCGCCTTCCTCCACCAAAATAAATAAATGAAGGGCAGCTCGGGGCAAGCTGCCGGGGAGCCTGGAAGCCTGGAAGCCTGGAGCAGCTCGCGGGCGGCTCGCAAGCGGCCCCTCCCCTTGGTGCCGGGACCGCGGCTGGCGCGCGGGCGGCGGGGCGCCCGGGAAAGGCTCTCCTTTGTGAGCACGGCCCGGGCGCGCGCCGGCAGCGCGGACGTACTGGCGGCGGCGGCGGACCCGGGCACGCGCCCGCGCCGAGCTGCCCCGGGCTCCGGAGGCCTCGCCTCCGGCTCCGAGCGGTGGCTCGAGCCTGCACTGTCCCGGCGGGACCGAGGACTGAGAAGGTTCGCACGCCGCTCTGCGTCCTCGGCTGCCCTCCCGGGCCTCACCGCCCACGGCCCGGCGGTCAGCCCCTTTTCGCGGAGCGGCGCACTGACGGCCATGTGACGCGCGCGCATCCCGAGCCCGCAGCTCCTCCTCCCGGGACAAAGCCCGGCCCGCCCTCCGCGCTCCTCCATGGGGGCAGCTGTCATTTAGGATCCTCCACACAAATCCCCAGCTTGAGTTTAATGACACGTTTTGCTTTCTCAGAGTTCTTCGACATTCGGATCTCCCGGGCTTCCCTGGGTCGGTGGGGAGTGGTGACGGAGGAAGCCAACCCGCCTCTGCCTTTCTGCCAGCCTCTCCGGAGGAGATTACAGACCCGCCGCTTTCCCAAGACTCTGAGCTTCCGGCGCCGGCTCCCATCTTGCAGATAGCAAAGTTTCAGTGCCCACCCCCGACCCAACTTCAACCGGGGGAGTGGTCTGTCCCACCCCCCGCTGCTCCCCAGTTCCAGCTTCAGGCTTCTCAAGGTAGCAACTGCCCTTGGATTTGCTCCAGCTTTTCTCCCTGACTGGAAGTCATTCATCTAAAATATTTCTTGAGCTCCTGATAGGTTCCAGGTACTATTCTAGGCACCGGGGTTAGAGCAGCAAAACAAACACATACGAAAGTCCCTGCCCTCCTGGAGCTTATATTATAATAGAAGAGACAGAACGGCATAAGTGAAATATAGAATGTGTTAGGAATTAGGGCTAAAGGCAAAAAGGCAGGGAAAGCGGGTATGAAATGTACATGTAGGAGAACAGCGATTATGAGTAAAGGACTGAGTGAGCCAGCCACTCAGATATCTGGTGGCCTACAGTGTTCCAGGAGCAGCCAGGAGGCTGGAGCAGAGCAGGGAGAGGCACCTAGGAGAAGCTGGGGATGAAGGGGTCAGGGTGGATGATCCGATGTGGGAGGGCCTTATGGGGCCATTGTAAGGACTTGCGCTTCTGGGTGAGGTGGGAGCCCTGCAGGGTTCTGAGCAGAAGGATGTGTCTGACTTCTTTTAAAAGCATTCTGAATGGGAACAGACTGCAGGGGCAGGACCAGAGCCAGGAGGCCCTTCAGTAATCTAGGAGCCATGAGGGGGCATGTCCAAGGCTGGTGGCAGCTGAAATGACCAGAAGTTGTGGGATTCTGGAAATACTTCGATGGGGAGACTGACCAGATATGAGGTAGGAAAGAGAAAAAGGACGAGGAGAGTACCAAGGCTTTGGCCTGAGCAAAAGGAAGAAAGTGGTCATTAACCGAGATGGAGAAAACTGGCCTTGCTAGTTTGGTGGTTGGGAGTGGACCTCTCTGGAGCACAGTTTTGAACAGGTTAGGTTGGAGGTGCCCATTAGACATCCAGGTGCAGGGTTGAGTAGACACTGGTTAGACAGGTCTGCAGTGCCAGAGGAAATGTACAGGCTGGAGATAAAAATGGGAAGTCATCAGCAAGATCTGCTGGTATTCAGAGCCATAATTTTCTGAGATGATCTAGCTCTGTGCTGTCTGATGCAGTAGCTGCTGGCCGTATGTGACTACTGAGCGCTTGAAATTCGTGGAAATTGTGCAGCTGAAGAGCTAAGTTTTAAATTTTAGTTAAATTTTAAAAACTGATATTTGATTAAATTATTAGGGATTTTTTTTTTTTTTTTTTTTTTTTTTTTTTTTTTTCGGTGTGCGGGCCTCTCACTGCCGCGGCCTCTCCCGCCGCGGAGCACAGGCTCCGGACGCGCAGGCTCAGCGGCCATGGCTTACGGGCCCAGCCGCTCCGCGGCATGTGGGATCCTCCCAAACTGGGGCACGAACCCGCATCCCCCGCACCGGCAGGCGGACTCTCAACCACTGCGCCACCAGGGAAGCCCCTGATTAAATTATTGGAAAAATTTTAATAAGTTTGGAATAACTTGGGTATACAGATCTACTTTTTCAGCTGTAGAGTTTATAAAATCTAAATACAGATCAAGAACTTCCAGTAAGGGCTTCCCTGGTGGCGCAGTGGTTGAGAGTCCGCCTGTCGATGCAGGGGACACCGGTTCGTTTCCCGGTCTGGGAAGATCCCACATTGCCGCGGAGCGGCTGGGCCCGTGAGCCATGGCCGCTGAGCCTACGCGTCCGGAGCCTGTGCTCCACAGTGGGAGAGGCCACAACAGGCCCGCGTACCACAAAAAAAAAAAAAAAAAAAAGAACTTCCAGTGAAAATTTGGTGTCCACTTTGGGATATGCTATGTCAAATATACACTGTTTCGAAGACTTAATACAAAAAGGTAAATGTCTCATTAGTGAGTTTTATATTGATTACATATTTAAATGATGCTATTTTGGATATATTGGGTTAATAAGATGTTATTAAAATCAGTTTTACCTGTTTCTTTTTTACTTTTTAAAAAATGGCTTCTAGAAACATTTTAATTACACATGTGGTTGATTAAACTTCTATTGGATAGTTTCAATCTAGGGAGGGAATGTGTTTAGAGAAGAGAAGGGGTCCACGGATTAACTGAGCCCAAGGGCACTCCATGATGTAAAAGCCAGCAAGATGGGGAGGAACCGGCAGAAAGCCTGGGAAGGAGCAGAGACAGGAGGAAAACCAGGCAGGTGTGGTGTCCCAGAAGACCCTAGAAGAGGGTGATACCAGGAGGAGGGAGTGAACATCTGGCAGAATGTTGCTGCAGGGTTAAGTGATGAGGACAGAGCGTGGACACTGGGTCCAAACCGGGAGGTCACTCACTGGTGATGCTGGCAAGAGCAGGTTTGGAGGAGAAGTGGGCCCAAAGCCTGATTGGAGCGGCTCCAAGAGAGGAGGGGAGGAGAGGGATGGGCAACTCTTAGCAGAGTTTGCCTGTAAAGGGAGAAGGGAGAGGGAGCTGGAGAGGGAGCTGGGACAGAAAGGGCTCTTTTTAGCTGGGAGAAATGGCAGCATGTGTTCCTGCTGATGGGGATGAGCCAGTGGGGAGGGGAGAGCAGCTGCAGCAATGTCCTTGAGTAGATGGGGAGAGCAGAGGCCTTTGCCTGGGCCAGGAAGGCTCCATAGGTACCAGAGAGAAGGCAGAGTTCTCGAGCCCAAAGACAGAGAGGTGGGTTAGGTGGTGGAAGCTTATGGAAGTTCTGTTCTGATAGCTGCAATTTCGTCCACTTGCTTTGCCTCTAAACAGGCATGCCCACTTCGCAATTATCTACTTGCCCATCTCTCTATCAGAACTCTTCTTTTTACTACAAGACTCAAAGAAACAGCACCTGGGGAAGGAATATACCTTTGCTTTTGCTTCCTGTACATCCCAGGGCCGCAGCAGTGCTGGCTCCTCTCGTTCCACGTCCGGGTCCCCTCTTGCCTCCCTCCACAGGGCTGGGCACTCCTCAGGACACAGGTAAACTTCTGCCATCCGCCCTCTTATCCATCTGAGGAGAGTGTGGTTGGGAGGGGATACAGGTTGAGAGTCCTTCTCTCAGTTAAGACATCTGCATTCTCATTAACCCTGCTCTGGACTTGCCTTTCTAGCTGCTAATGAGGATGTGGATTTGTTTGTGCTTTACTCCTTCGCCATCCTCTTCCTAAAACCAAAGCTGCTTCCTGTCTTTCCTCCAGAGCCCAGCCCAGTGCCTGGTGGTCTGTAATGAAAGGGAGCTGAGTCTTTGGAAGATTTGATGCTTTAACCGAATATTTCTCAAGTGTGTCTAGCAGGTGCTCATTCAGCAGTTGAAGCTGAGAGTCCCCTGTGCATGCGCTCACCCAAGTTCTTAGCTATGGGAATCAGGCTTGGCAGGGCCTGGGGCAGTGAAATATGTGTAGACACTTTTCCTAAATGGATTTGACCCTGGACCTTTTAAAAATCAGAATGCTTAGGGGCTTCCCTGGTGGCGCAGTGGTTGAGAGTCCGCCTGCCAATGCAGGGGACACGGGTTCAAGCCCTAGTCCGGGAAGATCCCACATGCCGCAGAGCAACTAAGCCTGCGCACCACAACTACTGAGCCTGTGCTCTAGAGCCCGTGAGCCACAACTACTGAGCCCGCGTACTACAAACTACTGAAGCCCGTGCACCTAGAGCCTGTGCTCCGCAACAAGAGAAGCCACTGCAGTGAGAAGCCCGTGCACAACAATGAAGAGTAACCCCCACTTGCTGCAACTAGAGAAAGCCCGCATGCAGCAATGAAGACCCAATGCAGCCAAAAATAAATAAATAAACTAAATAAATTTATTAAAAAATTAAAATGTTAAAAAAAAACCACTTCGTCACATTAAAAAAAAAAAATCAGAATACTTATTAACAGCACCCAAGGCCATGAAGGTACTTGGGAAGATGCAGTCTCTTGCCTCTGGGGAGAAACTCCCCTCAGGGAGCCATTTAGCTCAGCACACACTGCCCTGGATGCACCCTGCTCCCGTGGGCTGCCTCTGTGCTACCAACCCAGCTTCAACACCCGTTTCAATGGTGGGCAGTAACCAGGGGGACTGAGGACTTTCTGATCAGCCCCTTCATCCTAGGTTCCTGGCCAGCAGGGCCTGCCTCTGGAGCCATCTCTGTCCGGGGCACTGACCCCTCCCTCCAGGGTAGATGGGGAGGTCATCTCCCCTCAACCTTGGGTTGCCGTCACATCCTCTGCTCTAAGAAATGCAAGGTCACAACACATTAGGGGTGGTTATTACACTGATCTTACAGAAAGATTCTTCTCTTTGAAGTGCCTCTTTGGCACTTTTAAGCGTTGTTTACTGGTCATTACCCAACTGACTGAGGAGTGAAAAATTTGAAAAACTTAAACCACTGGTTGAGTGTCACTGACAAATGAATACTATATCAAAGGCATTTCTAAAATTCATAAAGTAAATCAATGGGGAACAGTGACTAGATTTGTGAAAATATGGTTTGCACAGAATATTTTAGGAAAACATTTTTTAGGACCCAGGATCCTCCTTGGTGTAGAAGTCAATGACTAAAAATTTTATTTGAAAAGCAGTTTTTTAGGAAGACACTTCTTCTGTGAAATGAAGTCTAGTTCGATCCAGTTATGTGTGTCTGTCTCTTACATAAAATGTCCAGAGTTAAGAATTCCAGATTGGATGGCAGCTCCACGATCACAGGAACCCAGACCTCGCCATTATTAGCTCATGTCTTCTGTTCTCAAGGTTGTCTTTATGGTACAAGATGGCTGCTGGTGCTCTCACCCTCACCTCTCAGTTCCAAGAAGGAAGAAGGTGAGAAGGACAAAAGGGGCTAAGTTCCCTGTTGAGTTAACCCCCTTTAGAGAGCTTTCCCAGAAGCCCCACCCAATGACTCCCACTTATATCTCCTTGGCAACCCCTATCTGCAAGAGAGGTTAGAAATGTAGGTTTTTAGCCTCATCCCTCACCAACCATACAACAGTCAGTTACCAAGGAAGAAGGGGTAAGTGGACACTGGGTAGGCCACAAGCAACCTTCGCCACAGCATCTGAGGTGAATTCTCTGTGTGGCTTGTCCTCTCAGGAGCCTGGAGGGGAATGGTTCTATGCTTGACTTCAGCCCTCAGACGCCCTGTGCCAACCTGGCAGCCAGAGACAGAGCCGAGTGGCCTCTGGGGACTTGGGCCTGAAGATGA